GTACATGCACCCCCAGCACTGGGTCCCTGCCTCTCGGTCGCTCGCTCTGCTATCCTGCGTCTTAGGCGCCGCTCCCCTGCCGTTCGGTTGCTCTGTGCTCGCTCTGCTCCCCTGCCGCTCGGTTGCTCTGTGCTCGCTCTGCTCCCCTGCCGCTCTGTTGCTCTGTGCTTGCTCTGCTCCCCTGCCGCTCGGTTGCTCTGTGCTGGCTCTGCTCCCCTGCCGCTCGGTTGCTCTGTGCTCGCTCTGCTCCCCTGCCGCTCAGTTGCTCTGTGCTTGCCCCGCTCCCCTGCCGCTCGGTTGCTCTGTGCTCCCCTGCCGCTCGGTTGCTCTGTGCTCGCTCTGCTCCCCTGTCGCTCGGTTGCTCTGTGCTCGCACTGCTCCCCTGCTGCTCAATCACTCAGCACTCGTTCCACTCACCTGCTGCTTGTTCGTTCAGTGCATGTTCGGTTACCCTGCTGCTCGGTAGCTTGACCCTTGATCTGCTCTCCTGCCAGCTCGGGCAAGTTTCATGCCACCCCGGGTGAGAGCCGCACCTGCCCAGCCCGTCTGGGGTCACCCTCCTGGCACTGACACCCGACTGATTTATGGGGCTGGCTCATCAGCTGGCCCAGATTCCGATATTAGGGTCACAATTACCCAGATTAAAAGACCATTTGGCTCACTACAGTGCAAATATCACAATAAGCATACATTTGTTTTAATAACTGAAAATATCCACAGACTGAGGAGAATCAGGAATACGTCTGTAGTAAAGTACTGAGAAGTGATTCTGATTTGCATTGCCCTCCGTCACTTCCAACACAAACCAAACGTCTCATGGTGACATCATAGGTGAAAAGTCCAGTTCTCTCTTCAAGGTGCAGTAATACATAGTCTGATGAATTTAACATTGTTTTTTGGGTGGAAATCCCCTTCAAGCTGTACAAGCTGTTGTAAAATTCATAAACGTGGGATCCCAGCGGGCTGTCATCCCGATCACGGTGTGTCTGCTATCCGGACTGTCCATGAGAGCTCGCGGACTCCCTAGCCCACACCCGGTCCGGGGCTCTGCGCTTCCTGGAACGGGCACTGAAGCTGGCGTTCACAGATCCAAAGACTGATGAATGATCTGCTGAATTCTCTCCCTCCAGGAACAAGAATCCAAAACTCCCACAGAAAAAACAACCAGCAGCAGCAGGCAAAAAAAATATATTTTCCTAGTTTTTATATTATTCTCTTATTATTCCCAGTTATTCCTGGGAAGAACCAGGATAATGACACTCATGATAACGAGAGATTCTGTGCAGTCCAGCATCCAAAACGGCCTTTTTCTTTGGGACACTGGCAGCAGGAACAGGTTAACAGAAACTGCTACTGACTGGTCTCAGATTTCATTAACATAAGTTAACACTGGGGGCATCGATACCAGTATGAAACTCTGGGTCACTACACACATGGCGGCGAAGTTTAGTCACAGAACCTGGATCCGGGCTTGTGGAAGCGCTGACAGGACCACATGAATCAATGCTGGTTCTGATCAATATTTATTCTGTGGATTTGGTATAAATGTGTCATAACCAAAATACTAAGAATAGATAAGGAAATCCTTAATGACAGAGTAAATACGTCAAGATTAAAATAAACAGCAGCAATAATGTGTAAACAAGGTAAAATGAATAGATAAAGGGGGTGATTGCACTGCGTGCCGGCATTCGCGTATCACATAGAAAGGAATGTCTCTGAAACAGCAAGAGCTGTAATTTATCTGCACAGCTACAGCGCGTTCTCTGCCTTTCTGCTGTTTTAACTTTAGAGCGGAAAGCCAAATGCTAGCCCGAGCTCTGGCACGCAGCAGAAACCTCTTTTGTAAAACCTAATTTTTTCCACTAACATACAGAACCAAACCAAGATGGCCCACATAGGACTCAATTAAACTACTGTGAAGGCCTTGTCTGAAAAGGCCATCATACTTGGCATGTTGTGTTTAAACTTATACAAAAAATATATGAATATCTATAATGCCATAATAGTGCCTAAAGTCATATTATATGATGTTGACTTTGAAAAGGGAGCACCCCCCATTTCTTTCCTGTGGGATACCCTTTTCCTGACCTTTGATGGAGTTGTTTGTAGGTATACTCAGCACCTAAAACGTGTGCTTCCATCAGAGGCTTTTCCACCTTTGCCCCTCCCCCAAAACGGGCTTCCTGATCTTCACCCTTTTCATCTGATATTTGTTTTTGTGGGCACGGATCCACCCTCCCCCCCGTGCTAGGTCCACGTGGGGGCCAGCCCAATTGAGGGAGTACAAGGCCCTGCAGTATGTCAGCACTGCTCATGATGGATGAACATGCGCGGTGGGGGGAATAGGTGGACTCAGTGAGAGTGAACTGACCTCCTATCATTACGGCACCCCAGGCTGTCAGTTCAGACTGCCTGCCACCTTTCAGGCCTGTCTACTGCTGCCGAGCCAGCACTGAGTCATTTGGGCCATGTACGGCAGGTCGCCTGCATCTTCACTGGGGGGTGGCGCAATCTGCCTCCCAACCCTACTGCAAATGGACGGGACACCTTTGCTTTCCTGTTGCACGGCCCTGATCAAGAAGTCTGAGAATGATTAATTACCACAAAATTAATTACCTGAAAAATAACATCTGAACAAGCAACAGAGAGATTATTCCATGGAATGCATTAATCCCAGATAAAACAATACACGTAATAAATCACAAATTCATGTCGCTGGAGTAATAAAATGATAATGAAGCCTGGGTGGTAAGACCTCTTCCATAAGTATCTCTTTATTAGTCTGTGGTGTCTGTCTTTCGAGGGCACACAGGTCAATATCTGGCTGCAGCTCTTTTGTGAAGGTTGACTCCTTTAAGAGTCATACTGGCAACCCTTCAGTCTCCTGTGGTGCACCAATGAAGGACATGACCACAGTAACTGATCCTTGATTCAGTCAAACCTATGACATCCTTGTTTCCGTCACTGCTGGGTTTGAGAAGTGTCCAGATAGGGACTTGCCAATAGTGCCCCCCTTTTTTAAAAAAATATTAATATTTACAGAAATAAATATCAAATTTCTGGCATCTAACTAACAAAATCTTTTCCTTGAACCAAGATTTCTTTGGTTCTGTAACATTCAATAAGCCGGCTATTAAATTGCGCCTTTTTGGACAAGAGTTGTACTTTTGCAGAGGGCATCCAAACTGAAGAACCCTATGTGAGCAGTGAGCAATGGAGAGAGATATGCCCACTCTGATTTTTAGCCACTGTGCCTAAAGGTGTCACCTCACCTTGAGGGTGCACCGCATTGCTGAAAGCCAGTCGGTGTCTTCGAAATGGAAGCTGGAGACTCCTGCTCTATCCTCATAAGAACATGCCTGTGCCCTTCCGTGACCAAGAATCCTTTTTGAATTTACCTAACATTTATGCAATGTAGTTGCTTATATTTTGACTCCACTGTATTGCACAATATCCAAACCAAAAAATATTTAACTGTACCGTACAAGTCATTCAGTTATAAATCATAATCATAAACATTTAGTAGTTTTTCTAATTGTACTCCACTCTTAACAATCAATCAAAGAGTCATATAATCACTATAATAATAATAATAATATTTAAACACATTATTTGGTTTTGGTACAGTTTTAAAGTACATAAAGTCTATTACAAATATAACAGCAAACTTCTTCAGTAATTTCAAACCAGGAGCTCCTCAGGCTACTGGGGTGTTTAAAGTAGAAGAAAAACCCAAAATATATTACCACCACAACCTTCTGGTTTGTTGCTGTAGTTAGCTGTCCTCTTTATGTAATAACTCCACTATCAATGTTATATATCTTTGTCTATGTAGTTCGTTCAATAGATGCTGCAGGTTCAAGTGATGGCAGATACACCTACAGTATAGGTGACCTTCTGTTGTACCTTGAAGCACTCATGAACACCCCAAACACAGATGTACAAATTATCCAAGCAGTAAAGTGATCTGGTTTGGATGAAAAGGCTTTAACAATGTCCACCCGCTAAGTTATTATGTGTTCTGAAAAGCAGTTCATACCCCCAACATATATCTGTTGGGCTCCATTATGGGTTTGGTAGACCAAGGCTAGAAGAGCTTTCAAATCATCAGCTGACTGAGACCAACTCAAACCGCTCTGGCTTTCCTCAGCTCCCAACCTCAGGGGCCATTCATTGCCATCAGCTTCCCTGAATTGCCACTCTATAGCTTTTACTAAAGACAAGCTGTGACAGACTTACATCAGTCAGTGTGGCAATAAACCAGCCTCTGGTGATGGACAGCACTCATGCTGGGAGGGAGGGAGAAAGATAGAGAGACAGAGAGAGAGAGAGAGAGAGAGAGAGAGAGAGCAGGGAGGACACCCCAAGAATTCATTACCAAAACACCCCTGTTGTGACATGTAGAAATGCCTTTAAAGTAATTGAATCATACATCCAGCCAGTCCTAAAAAGCATTGATTGTTTGCAGAGTTATTGGATT